TAATAATAAAAATAAAAAACACCACCAAAGTGACCTAGCTGAAACAATCATTCCTTCTGTATTGAGCGGAGTGAAATTATTAAAAGAACAACTAACTAACTATATCATCCTTTTTAATGTGTTCAATTTCACCCCTAGATGCTTATTCTTTACTCTTCCCTTTTCCTGTTGCCTGAGACAAATAAAATCTTAATAATTAATTCACTTTGAATGGTGGCTATAATCTGCTGCTGTTGATCAAGGATGACTGAATTTCACTAATGTGTTACATTTGTGTGTGATATTGTGGGATTCTTTTTGTTGATTTACTGAGGTATGAAAGATGTACGATAACCAAGAACCTTACTGCTCAGGAAAACAAAGAGAAAATTGTTGGACCCTTTCAAAAGGTTTGTGCTCTTTTTTCATTGGAATATCACCTAACAGATTATAAATATATATTTATCATGATGCTTCTCAATCTTGTACTTATACTTTCTGTATTTCTTTCTTTAGTAAAAATATCTGCAAGCATTTGAAGAAATTTAATGAAATTTGAACACATGCATTTTTAAAAGAAATGCCTTGAGTTTTAAATGTTTACAACTGTTTTACAAATTTATTAGGTTGTTAAAGCTGAAACAAAAGGTAAAACTGAAAGAGAACATTTTACCTCAAGGATCCAAATGCAGGGAAGGAGGGGGGAGGGGGGCGTGAAATCACAGATGGAGAAATTTTCTCGATGACCTAAAGAAGCAGATAAGATTGGACACAACATATCAGCGTGGATAATTTATTATGAAGGYAAATACACACTGCAAGAACTTCCCTCACTCTTCTGTCTCTTCTTTGTGTGCGTCAGTAATGACCACCCCTTTTACACACATGCAGATCCAAACATGTACACGCACAAAAAAAAAAAAATAAAAAATCACAAAGGAACAAGTAGATCCATTCTGAGCAAGATTCACTCTCCCCTTGTCTGTCTGCTGGAAAACAGTGCATGCATCATAGCAAGCATGTGATGCGAAGGGGAATGTAAAAATTTGCATGCAAATAGATTCCACAGGCACAACCCATGCATCAAAACACTTTGTGCACAAAAGACAAAAATAAAATATCTAAAAATGCAGTGTGCTATCACTGAAAAAAGACGACAATAAACTTTATTTCTGCTCCCTTTATGAAATGACAAATAATTGTTCGGAAAAGGAAGTAATTTGAGACAAAACTGCAGTGGGACAAGACTGAAATATGTTTCAGACATGTGACTTAAACTTTGCATACACTAGTTCAGCATATGGAGAGGAAAAAAGAAAAAGCCACACACACACACACACACACACACACACACA